TTCCATAGAAACGATTTGTACGTGTACGACGAGATAACCATAATGGACTAACATGAAAATTTGGATATCTATTACGTTTTATATATTGTTCATCTTCATCATTATTATCATCATAATTATTATTTTGATTTATTTCAGATGAAGCTGAATTTATATGTTGTTCATCTAATTGTTGCTGAATGGCATCAATTAATGTTTGTATTTGTTGTCGTTGATTATATCGTTGAAAATATGCTGGATTAATACCATATAATGTATGAATAAAAAGACTAAATATTAAAAGTACAGAAAATGATGAACGAATAAGCATTGTTTATTGTAATTGATAAGAATTGTTAAAATAATTTTATTGTTGAGTTTGTAATGTCACAGAGTTTATATTTGGCCGTAGAGAGAAAATACCTTAGAGAAACATAGAGAGAGAGAGAGAAAAAGAGAAAAGGAGAAGTAAACCAATCAAGAATTAGTATACAGACGAAATAATTCTTTTTTTTCTTCTTCGATCAATATATTGTTTGGATCTACGTCAGTTTCTTTTTCATACATTAAAATATCATAAATAATGAACATGTATCCATACTTATATCTATATTTCTAAGTATAATAGAAAATAATGGATAGCAATTGTTGACATTGAATTATTAATTATTATACAAAAAGAAAAACTAAAGAAAACTATTGAAAATGCCGTCATAATATTTTTGTCTAATTCCTTTTCTTGAAAAGACCCATGTGAATGGTAAAAGAAAGAAAAGCTTAACAAAAGAAATTCATAATATGACTTCGTGCATGCGATTTTAATAGAAAGAAATAATAATGTATCATAATATAATGTAAAAATACAATTAATGAAAATATATAGTTAATTATAAGATAATATGATTTCGAAATAGTAAAATCTATTAATTAAAATATTTTTAGATACATATGAGCCAATCGATTATGTCTCATTTATTTCCATGTTATGTTTTCCAAATTAAAATTTTATTTTTCTTATTTATTCTTCTTTTAAATATTAATTCAAATTATTCATTGAAGTCAAATGAATATCTTGGTAGTACAGGAAAACATCTTTTTCATTTTGTACAAGTAATGAAATATTTTCGAGAAAAACAATAATATTTATTGAATTATTCTATTAGGTATCTGATATTCATGTAACACATATCGGTTATAATGATCGAATGAAACAATTTGAACAATTTTGTAATGAAATTATTAAAACATTAGTTAAACCATCAGTTACTATTGTATCAGGTAAATAAAAACAACAATAATTATTAAAACAATTTAATTAATATTTATTAAGGTGATCTTGTACATAGTGTGAGTGGTCTTATACGTAAAGGTGATCGACCATTTCGAACAGCACAATTCGAAGAAGAATGGAATATGTATCAAGATATATTAAATCGAACAAATGTTACAAAATATACAAAATGGCTTGATATAAAAGGAAATCATGGTAAATAAGAATTATGTTCATAGAAAATATTTCTTATATTTTAATATCAATAGATACATTTATGGATCCAAATCCTGATTCTTCAATGAGTTTCTATCGGTATTTATTAATAATTTTGTTTTGTCGTGTATCAATAAAATAATTTTAATTATTTAAGAATGTATTCAAATCAAGGACATGAACATAGTGGTTCATATGAATATACATTGAAAACAAATGATGGTGATAGTTATTCATTTGTTAGTGTTGATTTGTGTCCAAAACCTGGCCTTGGTGGTTTACTTAATATTTATGGTTCTATAACAAATGTAAAAATAATTTTTTTCTCTCTTTATTTTAAAATAAATTTTCATTTTGAAAATTTAGAAAGAAATGAAAATTGTAAAAAAATTATCTGAACAAACAAAAACTTCTAATACAACAATATTCTTTGGTCATTATCCATTATCATTTACTTATTCGTCTGGACTTAAAAAATTGATGAATCATGCTATTGTTTATTTAAATGGTCATCTTCATGCCGGTTTTAAACATTTATATAATCTTCATTCAGATGGATTACTTGAACTTGAATTAGGAGATTGGAAATCTAATCGACGGTATATATATATATTTCTTCTTTTTTTAATTATAAAACTACGTGTTTTTCTTCATATAGATTTCGGATAGTAACTATTGATTCTGGAATATTATCTTTTGAAGATTTTCGATTTAATCAATCTATTTATGCTGTTATATCAAATCCAACCGCAGCTAAATTTAAAACAACAAGAGAACCACTTTATCGTTTAAGTCAAAGTACACATATTAGGTTAATAGAATCATATTTTATTTATTAAAAAAAGAAATAATTTTCTTCCTTTTAAGAATTCTTGTATTTGCTCAATTACCAATAAGTAAAGTAGATATTACAATTGATAAACAATATATGGGTTCAGCTATTCAATCAATTGATAATTCAAATTTATTTGTTTTACCATGGAATACAAGTTTTTATAATGATGGAAATCTTCATGAAATTTTTGTTAAAATTAAAGTAAATAAAAATAAATATTTTTGAAATATATATTTATTATTTTATAAATAAGGATAAGGAAAATAATATAGTGACTATCAAACATGATTTTTCTTTATCACTATCAACAATAACAGCATGGAATCGTTCAAAATTTCTTCTTACAGTTCATCAACCAACTCTTGTAAAAACAGATTTTCTTGACAAAAAAACTTCACAATAATAATCTTTTTTAATTCTTAGATTTTAATTGTTCTGATCTTATCTTTATGTATATATATTCTCATTTTACTCTATTATCGATATCAAGCAAAGAAAAAATCATGTAAGTCAAATATCGTATTGAAATAGAAAACCCATAGACGTGGGTGTTAGCTTAAACGAATTGAATAAGATCGTAGGTGTTGATTAAATAACAGATCGTGTAAATGCGTAAGACCTTAATGAAAAATAAAACAACATATGTCACGAACTAATGACAAAAATAACATATCTGTGCGATATGTCTGTCAATTATGATTATATATACGAATAGATTTTATCTATTCGATAATGACGGATTTTCTTAACTATGCCTGATCCGTAGTAATGATTAAAACTATTACAATTACTCTCTTATAGTATTTTTTCTTATTAGATATTGTGGGCGTGTAGTCTTATCTGAAGATTGGATCGCTCTAGATGACTAACTCTGACAATGAGATGAAGAAGAGTGAAAGATAATAGAGATAATTTAAGGCAAAGAAATCAGCATTATATATGGATGAATTGCAAAAAATATTGTAACGTTTAATAACTCTAGTTTCTCTCGATCAATCTTTGGGGAAATTTCAGATTGGAATTCCGTACTTAGTGCTCATTACCGCACAAAAAACCACATATTTATTATTAGCTTATCGTGAGATGCTATAGAAACAAGCTTCAAATGATTTACTTTCGCTGTCATCTATTGACAGAAAAGGACAAATTTACAGTAAAAATTCTGTACTTTCCGAATATGAGTTCAACGAATCTCGGTCACATGGGATTAATAACTAATCCTGTAATTGAACAATGAGTGGGATAGTGCTGAATGAAAGTCAAGAAATGAGAAATGGAAACTGTCAGAAAGATTAGAATATTCTTCTATTTCTTGTTAAGAAAAAACCAAAACATGAAACTTGAAAACTCATTTTTCATGCTGAATGTCATGCGAGATGGTCTCATCTTGTTTGACGTACACCTTTCTTTAAGAGAGACTATTTGAACTGGAATTTGGATCATTTTATGTACTCAGTGAAAGAAACTATTTTTCAAAAACTTAGGTTAAAAAGATTTGGTGTCAATATGTCACACGGGATTTTGTTCGGACATATCACGCGAGATTAGCATACACAGATTTCACCTCACAAATAAGGACAAGCGATCAATAATCATGCGAATGAACTATAGCTTTTGTCTTACAACTAATAAATTCACGGATAAAGGTCACTAATTATATACAGCCTATAACTGAGTACATATTGACAAATTTTATTACTGTATACATGTAAAACCAGATATAAGGCAAGGACCAACCGTACTATTGCATCTGCTAATTCTAAATCAATTCTCTGATACAGTATACTAAAATGCACTATTTACTATTTCGAAAATGAAAACTTATTCTTCTTGAAATGATACAATAGTTTTGCAATTCATCAATATACTTTACACAGACAAAAGTAAAGTTGAACAATAACCATCCCCAGCTTCATAAAAGAAAGATGATGAAATGTATAAAAAAAACAAATATTTTTTATTTCTTTTTCAGCTATTTTTACTAGTCGTTTTGGAGCATGGAATCGATTTTGTCTACGAATGACATTACTTTGTTCAGTTGATTTTCTCTATTATTCATTACTTGCTTTTGCATTATTTCATTTTATTGGTAAATATCTTCTTTATTTCAAAGTATATTTTTTTTGAAAAATATTTTATTTCATAAGGTCCATGGTATATTGGTTTTTTAACAAGAGATTATTTTGGTGCCACTTTTCTTTGGGGTACATTAATACAAGGAACTTATTTACCACCTGATGGACAGTTAGTCGCGGGAAATTTTCAAGTAATTTTTTTATTAAAAATGAAAGGAAATATATCTATTTTTTCTTTTTAGTTATATTTCTTTTTATTTCCATTTACATATTGTTTAAGTTCATCATGTTATTATCATTATAAAAAAATTCAATCAAATAATAACAATCAAAGAAAATCTCATTTCAGTCGTTATTTTCGAATTTCTATAGTTTATATTTTATTTATATATATATTACTTTATGTTTTATTTTGGTCATATGTAATGACAGGATCGTTTAAACTTGGCTTTATATTATCACCATTTGGATTATTATTAATTATATTTGTAATAAT